CTTTTCGTGGCTGCTCTTATTAAGCTTTGTAGTATCTTCTGAGGATTACCGGATCTGTCGATGGGTTTGCGCTAGTTTTCGAATTGGATTAGATTTCGAGAAGATCTTGTAACTGATAGAAAACTTCTTGCCTTTTTGAATTTCCTTAGCTGCATTTTTTATTCGCAAAATTTCAGAAAATTTGCCGTGGGAACATACATGCAAATTGTTGTGCTTTGCTATAGCTGCTAGCTTTTGAATTGGTTTTGAATGTAGGTTTAATGGAACATTATACAGAGGAAGAGGGCACGGGTAGGTCATCTTATAGCATCTGCAGAATGAGCGAGGGCAACATTTTTACAATTTGTGCAATGAAAAAACCTTGATCGATTTCTCTTTTTGTTAAATATGGACAAGCTTTCATGGGGTTGGCCCCAGTGTTGGTAGAATTCAGACCGAAGTCCGAAAATCTTTATGGATTCCGGCCATTGTGACCATACGTTAACTTGTATACATAGAGTGAATTGGCAGGAATCCTGTCTTATTTCTGCGGATTAATGGCGGATTGGAGAACATCACTGTAGTGATCTCCATTAGCAGTAAAATCAGTTCATGTGAAATGCTATTGGACCCTACCAGTAAGCCAACAGGAGTTCTCATGATGCGAAGAACAACAAACAGACCTACGATTTAAAACAGATTTACTAAACAAAATAGCAAAAAAATCGGGAAAGCGACATCGGAAAAGACAGATTGTTTAGAAATCATTGGCAGTATTGATCCAGCATGAATAGAAATGGATATTTGACACGAATGAATTTTGATTTGAAAGCAGCAACCGAGTATTCCTCGATTAATGCCTCGTTTTTGATTCATTGCAGGGAGGAAAATCCAAGTCGTGAGACGGAAAACAAAGTTGGTCGGCAATTTCGACCGCTCTACGACATCCCATATATGTTCGAGGCACGAGAATTTTTGCGTAAACGTCTGATCGGTAAAAAAGTTCAGGTAATTTTCATTTTAGCACTTGCTCTTTTGGCAAGCTGTTGTTCCTTCCTTCATTGTACTACTTCTAACACTTTCTATTTTGTGTTGTTCTGGACTGTTCCGTTATGACAAATGCCTCTCCCAGTTTCGCGTGGCTACCGTCCAGCTTTTCATTTCATCCCTTTCGTTCTTGTTCCATCAGTTGATTAGGTTATTTTTTATGCATGCTTTACTCATAGCAAAACAGTCTACAAATATATTTTGAACAATGAAAGTGTATAGTGGAAATGGCTTCTGACTGTTGAAAAAGTGATAAAATACAGGCCACTGATGATTGCTTCCACTGTTTTAGCCGATTTTAAAGGTTTTTTTTTTTGAAAAGGAACCAGTTTTTTTCAGGTCACAATCGATTATGTTCAGCCAAAATCCGAACAGTTCCCTGAAAAAGTCTGCTGTACAGTAATGTCTGGTGGTTTGAACGTCGCTGAAGCACTTATTTCCAAGGGACTCGCAAAAGTTGTGCGATACAGAATTGATGACGACAATCGGTATCTTTTCTTATAGATGAATGGCGATGTATAGCTTGCCAGAGCTCTGATCAGCTTCTTTTGCTTCGTCGTAGAGTACTGCCGTGGCTAACATAACCAAAACAATATTAACGGATTATCAGCGCATTATTGCTTGCGGAACTGGCTACGTTTTCGTGTATTTTGTTGGTGATTATGCGTGACTTTGTGTTTACAGAATAATGAAAGTTTTCTAATTTTTTGAATTTTTGTAAATTTACTTCTCTGTGTTTTTCAGCTCTTCACAATATGATGCTTTGCTAGCTGCGGAGGCGAAAGCGGAGAAAAGCAAAAAGGGTTTATTTGCAGACAAAGATGTGGGCGAAAAAGGCTCTGTTTTAAGAATACAGGAACTGCAAGGAGTAAGTTCTGCAGCTCTCCGTTGAATGTAGAGGATTTCGATTTCTGGAAATAGTAAGCGGTTGGGGACTCGTCTTCTAGTCGATTGATACTTTGACGAAATTGATTGATAATTTATTATGATTCCAAGCTTTATAATGATCTTTTGTTCAAAGAAAGTAACAGTTTCTCAGACACGTTATTTGGATAACTATCTTTTGGAGAAGACAGGGTAACTTTTGGATTTTTTGAGTGTTTAAAGGATACAGTTCGATTGGTTGATAAGCCTTCTTTTTGATTTTTTACACACATTTTCCAAGAAAGTCCAGCAAAAAAAATTTGCGATAAGGTGTATCCGTTCTTCCAAAAATTGCGATTTCTAAAAAATTTCATGGGTTTTTTGCAGGATGCTCAACGTTCAAAGCAATTTTTACCATATTTGCAACGTTCCGGACGTTCGGAGGGTGTTGTCGAGTTCATA